GTTTAAAACTCTTTCAGCAATTGCTAAGGCCACAGAAATTATATTGGCAATCAGAGCTTTCTCCCCAAGCCATGATAAGCCATATGGGCAATTTGCTGTTCAATAACTGACACATCCATATAGATGAGAGATAACTTAAATAATCAAGATTTCAGTTCTATAGATTCTGTAAATGTGTCATTTCTCTAGCTAGTTCAGTCTTCTAGCTAACACTCTTCCTCCCAGTCACACTAATCAGGAAAGGATTTGAAAGACTGATCCCAATTCTCTTACAAAAAAGGAGTGTTAAATAGTACTTTGAACTGATGTTGCAATAATTCACACACTAATTATCATTTCAATAACAACTTTGGGGGACCTGGGAAGTGCACTGTGTGCTGTCACAAATCATAATTCATCCTATTCCAGTCCAAGCTCCTGCACTAACTAGCACCTTGAGATCTCAGCAGATGTTCTGAATCTCAAAAGGATTTGCTCCCAATCAGTGGCTCCTCTTAGCTTAAAGACCAGACAGATGATCTACATCATTGCATACAAAAACACACAAGGAAATCTCTCCAGGGACTGGTTACAGAACAAAATTAACTGAATCTCAGTCAAACCAGAAAACATCATTTATAGATACCTAATGGTTCCAATATTGATGCAATGTATGAGGAATTCTAAACCTCCAACATGATTATTGCTTCTGTTTCTGAAATAAATCTAAGGGAGAAACAGGAAAAACCAACTATACTTTCCAGTTCTTTTTTGGTGCAGAGGAATTGTGCACATTTCTCTTCCATCTGAGCAGAGAACATACAGCAAAACAGTCCAGGATCACACTTCGCACACCCGAAGTGCCAATTGCATAATTTTGCCCTTCCTCCCTTCTCAACCTTTCTTAGCATGTTCTGTATTGCTTCTTTGGACTTGGGTATAGAGAAGCTCTACTTTCCCTTCCCTGTGGGTGAAATCCACTCATGTTTAGAAGGCCAGGACAAGGTCAATGAGCCATTTAGTAGGGCTCAAATGGGACTTTAGTGCTGACCTTCTGCATATGGATGAATTTTGCCCAAAGTGCATTTTTGGGGAGCTTTTAAAAATCGCATCATAGGATCCAGATCAAATCAGCTTTATTTGCATGTAAAAATAAGTATTTTCTAACTGCCAATCCTGCAAGCTCAAACTGCAATCTGAAAATACAGGATTCTTTCTGGATCTTGTATCACTAGTAATAAAAATTCTGCAACTGGAACTTGGTTAATAATCCTGTTGATGACATAATAGCAGGGACAGAATCCAGCTTCTATTTCAGCAGTTGACTCTTTGATGCTAACTGAAGAAATAATAGTAAAAAAATGCATTTAGTAAAGAAAGCAGATATGACCTGACACATATTGGAAGCAGATCTTTTCAGCAAAAGGTGAACATTTTATATAGTCCTAAAAAAAATAAAGAATATATGGAGATATACCTATCTCATAGAACTGGAAGGTCATAGAGTCCAGCTCCCTGCCTTCACTAGCAGGACTAAGTACTGATTTTGCCCCAGATGGCCCCCTCAAGGATTAAACTCATAACTCTGGGCTTAGCAGGCCAATGCTCAAACCACTGAGCTATCCCTCCTCTCACATGCTACAGGGTAGAGCCAAACTTTAAATATTAATTTGCTACAATCTCTTCTGTTTGTGTATCTACCGTATTAAATGTCAATAATTACCACATTGAGTTTTTAACGTCACTGTCTGTCTCTATTCTCTTCTGCCTCATCTTGTTATTCATGCCAGGCAAAGGCCTTTCAAGAGGGAAAAAAACCCTTTGTTCCTTTTTAGTTTTCCTTTATTATAACATTTCAGAGACTATATTATGAATTTTAAAAGCTCAATGAATATTCTCTTTCTTTATATCCATTCATTCATTTTCAGACATATTCCCCTTACTCCAGCCCATACAAACTCCTGTGGTCTTCTCCACAAAGATCGGGAGCTGTTTTTGGTGCCAACTTCTACAGTACATTAGACATTTGGGGCTAGATTCACAAAAGGACTTAGGCACTTAACTGCCATTTTAGGTGCCTAAGTCCCAGAATCAGGCCCCACTGGGCTTCACAGAACCTCTGCTCAGCTTCTGCTGAACTCTGTAGGCATCTAATCTCACTTGGCATCTAAATTTTTGCAGTCAAAGTTCCCTAGAGACCTATGTTTCTTCTTCTGTGCATGTGCAATGCAGCCCCTGACCAGGCTTTTCTCCACCTACCTTGCTTGGGGACTTAATCCGGTAAGCATGCTCAGAGCTTGCTTATTGGATCAGGTCCTGTGATGGGGCATCCACCTCACACTGGTCCATAAAGGATTAATGGAGCCCTGGGGCGGCTGCACAGAAAGCAGCCAATAGGAGAGGGGTTGTGAGGAGCAGCTAATCAGGGTTGAGTAGGCCCATATAAGAAGAGCTGCAGGGCAGAGCAGAGGCAGTAGTTTCCTAGATCTGGAGGAGGGAGGATGGGCTGCCTTACAGAAGGAAGAAAGCTAGCACCCTGGACATAGCAGCGCTGGGCAGGATCAGGGGAGTGAGACCAAGCTCCTGGATGACTGCTAAGACTGGCATGTTTAGGCCCTGAGATAAGGGTGGAGAAGATGCCGGGGGTGTGGGGAAGCTACCGGGGAAGTAGACTAAGAGGTTAGAGGGGATGCAGTGCATGGCTGCCATCTACAAGGTCCCTGAGCCAGGACCTGGAGCAGTGGGTGGGCTTGGGTCCCCCTCTCACCACCACTCACCACTGAGGAAGTGGCTGGACCATCAGACTGCAGGACATTCCCGAGCAGAGTGTGGCACATCCGCAATGCTGTGTCCTGAAGAAGACATTATGGTCCTGGGAGTGATGTGGGTCCTGGAGCAGAAGTGATGGCAGCAAGACATCAGCAGATGAGGGTGCACTGGTGGGCAGAGCTAATCTCCAGAACAACCAGCAGGAGGCGCTGCAGTGGTGAGTGCACCTTGTCACAGGCCACTATAGGTGAACTTACACAAAACAGTGGTGGGAAGAGGGCCTCCCTCATAACTTTTAGCCCAATGATAAGATATTCACCTGGGCCATGGGAGACCCCTGGTTCAAATCCTCCCTCTGCCTGAGGGGGGAGGATGAATTTGAACTAGGCACTGCCATTTCTCAGAGTGCTCCAATCCCTGAGCTATGGGACATTCTGTTGTGGGCATCCCTCAATCTCTCCTGCTGAAGTTCTTCCACTGTAACTACATAATTTAAAGTCATTGGAGCAGGGGGACTGGCTCTCCCATATCTTGTGTGAGCTACAGAGTCACCTCTCTCTTTGACCTAATGAGCCTTTCATTAGTTATTCATAGTAGAACAGCTTTGACAGGAGAGACTGAGGCTAGTCCCACATCAGAATATCCCATCACCCAGTGACTAGGGTACTCCCCTGAGGGTGGTAGAGACAGGATTTAGGACACACCCTTCATGTTGGCATCTCTCATTGGCTAGTTTAGGTGTCTCCCTACCTAGTGTGTTGGCTTTTGTGAATCTCATTCTGACGTACCTATCTCTCCCCATTCATTGTATAGGGAGTCCACGTGCCAAACTCAGGGTTTGTAAATCCCAGTGATTTTCTAGGTGCCTAAAATGCAGTCACCACACCTAAGCTCCTTTGTGAATGTAGACTTGTAGTCTTAGTGCATTAGAGGGAGATTTTCAAAGGCAGAACAGGCTATTAGGTGCCTAATTCCTTTTTGTGTCATTGGAAATGAATCATAGAATATCAGGGTTGGAAGGGACCTCAGGAGGTCATCTAGTCCAACCCCCTGCTCAGAGCAGGACCAATCCCCAGACAGATTTTTGCCCCAGATCCCTAAATGGCCCCCTCTCCCCCCCTTCAAGTTCACTCTGTATGGATAGAGTTCATTTATTAAATCTTGCTGATGCTGACATGTATTAGCCTTAGTCTATCACGTTTATGATAATTTGCATTACGGGTGCTTAGATCAAATCAGCTTCTGATGAAACCTCTTTCAATTCTGTGGTGAAATCATGCAGTTGAGAGTCTCACTATAAAACTATTGATAGAATCTGGAGATTAAAGATATTTTCTTGTTGCACAAAACTATAATTGATAATTGGGCCAGATCCTGAGGTCCAAGAAGTCTGCTTGACGTTGCTAGATCATAGTAAAGCAAACATAAAGATGCAGGGGAATCCTCAACTAGCACAAAAGTTCTTGTTACTGGGAGCCAACATCCCAGGAAAGTGATGAAATCCTGGGAGGCCATTACTAACCAGGAGAGTGTAGATAGCAGTCTGAACTTAAAAAGACACTGTTTTCAAGACAGAAAATGGAGAATGTTTCATTTGTTTTTGTTTTTATAGAATTATTTTTAAAAGATTACTTAAAGTCTCAAAATAGGTCACTTGGCTTCCAATACGGATGTCTGAGCAAGAAAACATAATAGGTATGAAAGGGTCAGATGTTTATATTTATATTTTTTTGTCTGAATGTCACAGAGTAGCAAATCTCTTGCACAGATCATCCCTCTTAATCATTCTGAGTCAGGAGAGAAAATGCTAACTGGATCAAACTGCATTGTTAGCAGAGAGGGAAGGTGATGAAATTTTTTTGATAAAGCTTAAGACTCTACGCTATCCAAGTCAATGGGAATTTTGCCACTGAATTCAGTGGGAGCTTAATCAGTTTCTAAACTCTCAATTCAAAAAAGCATCCCTATTGAGGAAGAAAGCTTACATGTGTGCTTTTAAGTCCCACTGAACTCAGTAAACATGTGCTTGAAGTGAAGCATGTGTTTAAATGCTTCCCTGTGAAATATGTTTAAGTGCTTTCTTGAATCATGGCCCAAATTTGGTTAGACAGAACTGTGTATCAAAATGGCTACACAGAGCATGAATTATTTATTGTACTAGTCTTTGCTGGACAATTCCATTCCTCAATGTATTCAAATGATTTGTTTACAGCAGTAAGTCTCTGTTGCAGCATATGTGCTAAACTCCATACCTTACTATGGTGAACACAATGAGGATATTGCCAACTAATCCCATTGAGCAGATAATCCCAATTAGAGAGGGAAGGATGATTGTTTCTGCTGCACTGATCACTTGGTAGTAATGCCCTCCACTCCAAGATTTGTTGAACAAGACAGGTGTGCTATTCCAACAGGAAGGCTGGATTTCATTCATTCTTCAGAGATGATAGATTCTTAAATCTGTAACAGTAACAGAAAATAAATTATTAATAGACTTACAATTTGAATGTTTCATTAGTCAAGCACAGTAGCTTGGGATACATGATTTTTAATTACAGTTTGAATTTCATGAATAAAATCTTCCAAGTGGTTGTTTAAGTTCATGAATGAACTCAGACTTAGATAGTATTGCTTAAAAAAAATCTGGGACATGTTTCGTACCTATATTAAAATATACAGAACTTTTTAAATGAGTCATTTTAGGTCACAGCATTCATTCCGACCATGGAAATCCCATGGGCATCTATTTCTTGATCTTCCACAGATTTATGAAATGTTGAATAAGTCACTTAGGCCCAAATTTTCAAAAGGGAGCTCTAATTTTGAGTGTCCCAATTGAGTTAATCAGGGCCTGATTTTCAGAGGTGCTCAGCCTCTCAGTTGGAGTTCATTTGGTGTTGAGGGTAATTAGTGCTTCCAAGAATCAATTCCCAGATATTATCTCACCTTGTGTACCCAAAAATTGAGACTCCCAAAATTAGAAGACATTTGGTAAGTTGGTCCAATGGTTAATTGCTTTCACTGCTAAAAGTGTATACCTTATTTCCAGTGAGAATTTGTCTAGCCAGATTCTCCATAGATTGTGATTTTTTTTTCTCTGGTGCTTGGAATGTAAATTCTGGGATATTTCCCATTTCACTGAGACAAGGAAAGTGATTTCAGAAGTGAAGTGGATTGCTGCCTGTGGCCTGGGCTAAGAGACAATGATGCAATTTGGCTGTTTTTGCTGCTGAAGAGGGACATTTAATTTGTAAGGATGCCTTCTAGCTTAAGGGAGCAGGTTGTCAAAGTGATATGAAAACAATGCAAAGAGGGTTATAAAGAAAATGTATGTGTTCTGTCTGATGTGGTTCAAAGGAGAATAGTGGCTTTGAGGTACTTGGGGAGTTTGGCAGGATTTGTGCAGAGGGAAAGGAGGATTCATGAATTCTGCAGAGTTTGGTGTAGCGGATTTGCCTCAGGGTGTTTTAAAGATTGAAACAGGAATAAACCTTTCAGCCTGAAGAGATCTATATTCTGTCCTCACAAAGCTGTCAGCCGGACACCCTGAGGGAGTGTAGGGGATGAACCTTGGAAAGTTATAGCCTAAAGGAGACATTTTGCAGAACAATTCCATTTTAAAAAAAAATCCCAGAAGTGAGAACTGCTGGAGACAAGGTACTATTAACTATTAATTATTATTGGAAATGTTAACAATAAACCACATTGAATTCATTCACAATCCATAGTCTCTCACATTTAACACAAACACAATTGCAAGTAAAAATAATGAGTGGGTCTGAGTTCTGTGGGGTAAAACTTCTGATTCTGTAGGGTAACAAAGAGGTTTTTCACTAGGAGTAGTTGTTTTGAAACTAGACTGCAGGAGTCCCCTTCTGAAAACTGTCCAATCTGTACCAACAGACTATAAGCCGGGATCAGGGCATACCCCTTTATGGAGGATAAACAGCAGTACCTGGTCACTCAGAGCAAGTGGCTGCGGAGCAACTACAAAAGATCTAGCCCTGTGATGTCCCGGTCACAGTAAGGGGACAAAAGCTATCTCTTTGTCTCTAAGGGTGCATCAGAGGAGCGAAGGGTAAGAGAGTCAGGGAAATAACTTCAAAGAAATACCACTGTCAAAATAGAAGCCATTGTGTGGTGTCATAAATATTTCTGAGCTCAATTCTGCCTCTGAGACCTTTGCCTGACAGCTCTGTGCGGAAGGAATATAGATGTCCCTGAGTTGGAAAACCATCCCGATCTAATCCTGACTTTTGGGGAGGCCTAGGTGTGAAATGCAGAAGTTCATCAGAGGGTCAGATTTCGAGACTATGAAGATTTGTCCCATTGCTCAGTAGGTGTATGACAGTATAATCCACTGTGCGCAAGGTTCTAGAAGCAATTCTGGTTTGTATGAAATTATAAATCACATTATTTAACAAATGTCTCAGAATGCTACAACCAACCTTATTTGAAAGGCAGAAGAACAAGGGGGATACAGTTAATGTTGAACTTTCAGTCTTAATTCTGAATTCCTAGTTTGATTTTTTTTTTCAACTTTCTGTTTTCATTAATTCTAGTTTTGTGTCTCTACTATAAAATGCTTTTTATGTAGTACTACCAACTTCAATCATTTAAAAACCATGAATAAGCCCACTCCTAACCATGTGGTAATAATTTGGACTACAAATTTACCCTAACTGTGAACTCAACTGTAAAAAGTATGTGAAAGTTCATAAGATGTCCACAATAAGCTATAATAATAAATATAGATCAGAAAAGGTGCAAAAATGAGATGGACTAAATTAATTTATACAAAAAGAAAGTTATTGCCATATTTGATACCATCTAAATGACTGTCAAACAAGGGTCTTTTTCGTTTGAAAAACTCTCTCCAGCTAAAGAGAAAGGGAACAAGAGATGTTAAAATAAAAGCCCTGTTTAATATTTTAGTTTTTCCTTCTTTTTTATATATCTTTAATAAAAGGTTAAGAGGATTTTTAATGGTGTGTGTGCCGTGGGACTAAGCAGGCTGAGGTTTCTGAATACCAAATCCCAATCCTTGTTTAATACTGTTTAATATTGGACAGTCATGGTCATGTTAACACATTTAGCTCATATATTCCATTTAAATTAATACAACACATGATTGGCTTAATCATGAGATTTTAAAAAATAATAAATCATATTGCTCTTCATCTACCTTCTGTTTGTTGAATGTTTAGGGGGAAGCCACACACCCACAGTTCATGTGGGATCATTACAGGTTGAAATCTGTAGCTGCTGACAGAACTCTCACTTAAAATAAAAGTTCAGACCAATATTTAGATGCATAAAATCTAAGTTTAACAGCCTAAGTTTAGGTTCCCAGTTTGAAAATTGTGGCCATGGGGCAGTCACCAAGCCAATGACCCAGCTATATTTGATTTCTCTCTGTCTCCCTATTCTGTACGTTACCAGTTATCCATCTTGTTCTCTCTTTCAGTGTCATGTGTTCAGTTCTCTTAAATGTAACAGTAGAAAGCATACACGGAAAATTGGATGCTTTGGTGCTTGGCAGATGAATGTCAACTTTAGTCATTGATCTTAGTGGCCATGTTGAGATGGAAAAACAGTATTAATTTATCTGGCATTTAGAAAAGCTGTTCCCAGTAGTACAGTTATAGACACATCTGTTTCACGGAGTGTGAAAAGAGTGGTAGAATCTGGCCCCTAGATGATTAATTACATCAACAGATTTGGGATTTTCTGTTGTCTTAAAGCATTTCATGCATTAAGATTCTTGTAGTTTATGACAACAGGTTGGTAAAGCCTTACCCAAGACCTAGAAATTTGATTTTTAAGTAGCACAAATAGATGGAGACTCATACCAAAATATAACTAAATCACTCAAAGCACAATAAGAAGAGACGGTATTGTTATGATTTCTGAGTATCCCATATCTTTATTTCCAAGCTGATGCTTTTGTATAAGATGCTAATTACCCCTCTTGTCTTCTAGAAATATATGGATATTTGTTTTAAGATGTCAGGTAGCTATTCAAGAGCTGTTGATGTGTACTATTTTAGTCATAATTCCTAGTGTACTGGCAGGGGTATATCACTACAGAGACAAGTATAGAATTAACTCCATAAGGAAAGGCCATTTTATTGTAATATGACAGACAAGATTAAGTCTAATGATTATTTGAGTATAATGGGCAAGGTGTGTCTAATTGCTTGTAATTAATAGGATAGACTTTGGTATATATTTTTCTGTAGCTTACAAAGAGTTGGTTCCAGAGGTATTGCCAGAATTCACCTTAGTAAAGTACCATTCTCATGCCTTTTCTGCCCCTCACCTCTTTGTTTACGTGGCTTAATTGATTTCTCCTGTTTTACCTCATAGGTCTTTCTAGGATGGAACAATTATTTCTCCTTCATACTGTGCCCACCATCCATCTCTAAATATAATAGCTTATTGGCAAGGCAGCAGAGGCGATCCAGCGTTTTTGCCGCCCAAGCGGCGAAAAAAAGAAGAAGCCACGATCGGCGTCATTCTTCAGCGGCAATTCGGCGGCAGGTCTTTCCCTCCGAGAAGGAGAGAGGGACCCACCGACAAAGAGCCATACATGCTGCCTCTCTCCGTTGGCCACCCCAAGCACCTGCTTGCTGCGCTGGTGCCTGGAGCCGGCCCTGCAAGGCAGAAGCAAATGGAAGCACTTAAGCTGTTAAGTTGTGGGGCAACATATGTAAAAATAGCACTCTGCAGTTACATGGGCTGTGCTAGGCTGATGTAAATGGCATATCAGGACTGAGGAGTCGCTGGCATCACCTCTGCTCAGTCTCACTTAGATCTCTTATCACTTTATCAATGACATTTTCAATTGCCTGGTTTCTGCTTGGTGCAGTTGAGTTGGAAGGAGGGTGGGCGGATGGAACTTGACATGGGGCTGGTTATGGCTTTCTGATTCTCTAGACTAATCTGGGCCCTGAAATGGTTATATCATCCTGGGATGATCTAATACTCAACCAGAGGTCCAGTGTCATAGGTGCCAACTTCTGCTGGCGCCGGTGGGTGCTCGACCCCGCTCTGCCCCCGGCCCCACCCTGACTCTATCCCTGCCCTGCCCCATTCCAACCCCATCCACAAAGTCCCCACCCCAACTCTGCCCCCTCCCTGCCCCTATTGGACTCCTTCCCCAAATCCCGGCCCCGGCCCCCCGTCTTCCCTGCCTACTCCCCTGAGTGTGCTGCGTTCCTGCTCCTCCCCCTCTCTCCCATAGCTTGTTACACTGCAAAACAGCTGTTTTGCAACGGCAAGCGCTGGGAACTAGGGGGAGAAGCAGGGATGCAGTGCACTCAGGGGAGGAGGTGGAGGGGAGGTGAGGTGTGGGGGCGGGGAGCTTGGCTGCCGGTGGGTGCAAAGCACCCACTAATTTTTCCCCATAGGTGCTCCAGCCCCAGAGCACCCACAGAGTTGGCGCCTATGTACGGTGT